AAAAAAAAAAAAAAAAAAACACTCTTTCCTCCCAGAAGGAAATCTGAGGCAAGCAGGGCAGGAGGAGCTGAATCAGCCTCCCGAAAGGCAGCGCACAGCTGCCGACTGCGGAAATGAGGCCGGCAGCTGGGGGCGCAGAGAGGAGCTGGGAGCCGGAGAGGAGGGCCCCTCCCTGGGTTCCCGGAAAGCTGGCCTGTGGAGCCAGCGACACCTCCTCTCCTGCTGGGTGACCATTCCCTATCTAGAAGATATTTCCAGAATTGCCAGGACCAGGAGCCCCCGGGAAGATTTCCTGAGAGATGGGGTGATGGATGGACGCAGAGAAGCGGGGAGGCCGCCCAGACGATGGCTCAGTGGAGGAGTCTGCAGTAAGGCCCAGTTTAGGGGAAGAATTGTTCCTAAGACTGCACCATTCTTGAGAGCTGACAATTCATATGCTGAGTTTTTGCCTTTGTTTTCTTCACAAAGACACTACTCCAAGGGGCACAATGTCCTAGACTTGATTTGTTTCAATAACTTCCTCAAGCAAGGAATTCAACCTTTCAGCCTCAGTTTCCTCATAGGTAAAAAGAGGATAATTATACATCTGAGGCCATAAGACTGCATCTGATAGCAGAACCAAGTCCTACGTCAGGGCCTGGAATGATCATCCCCCAGAATGGGTGCCTTCTCCTTGTCACACTCCAAACCTTCAGTGTCACCTTCCCAACAAGCCTTTCCCAGTGATGCAACCTAGGGGAGCCCCAATCCTCCCATCCCAGTGTCCCCCACATCTGCAGGGCAGTACCACAATCTGCAGACACCCTGTCAGTCTGTTTGCTTGTTGGCTGTAAGCTTCACAAGGGCCCTCTCCTGCCTTGTTTACACCCAGAATGCCACCTAACACACAAGTGTGTTATGCTATGCTGTAGAATAAACGAAAATCAGGTAGTGTGATCCATCGCATCCACACAGACAAAAGATCACATGATCATATTAACAGATGCAGTAAAGGCTTTTGACAAAATCCAACACCCTTTTAGGGTCAGGGATTTAGCTCAGTAGCTCTGCTGCTTGATTCACAAGCACAAGGTCCTGAGTTTGATCCCTGATACAAAAAACAAACAAACAAGCAAACACCCATTTGTGAGTTTTAAAACTTCTTGGCAAACTAGGAATAGAGGGAAACCTCCTTAACTTCATTAAGAACATTTATAAAAATCCTACAAGTGGCATCATACTTAATGGCAAGAAACTAGAACTTTTCCTGTTATGGTCAAGAACAAGAGAAGGGTGTCTGTTGTCATCATTCACTCCCTTAACATCACATTTGAAATCCTAGCTTATGAAATAAGACAAGAAAAGGAAATAAAAGTACAACACAGGTAAGGAAGAAATAAAACTGTCCATTAGATGACACATTTATCTATCTATGATAGTGAAACTGAAAGAATTGACAAAATAAAACAACCTAAAAAACCTTACTTAACACCTGGAACTAATAAACAATTATAACAAGGTGGCAAGATAAATGGTCAATAAACAAAAATTAATCAAATGGAATTTGAAATAAAAATGTATTACCTTTTACGTTCATACTTCCCAAAATGAAATACATGGAACAAAATGAAATAAATGTAACAAATTATGTAAAAATATATATATGAGGAAAACTATAAAACTCTTGATAAAAGAAATCAAAGAACTAAATAAATGGAAAGAAGTTCTATATTCATACAGAGTCAATTCAGCTCTTTACAGTCTTTATCCAGATAGAGTTTAGATGTTCCTGTCAGGAATGGACTTTGCATGGTAAACATAGGATGCAGTTTATTGCCGGGCATTGTACCACATTCTTGTAATCCTAGCACTCAGGAAGAAACTGAGGCAGGAAGATTGTTGTAAGTTGGAGGCCAGCTTGGGCTACATAGTGAGTTCAAGCCTAGCCTGAACTACATAGTGAGATACGGTCTCAAAAAAAAAAAATGTAGTTATTATTTGTCCCATCTTACAAATGAAGAAATTGAGACTTAAAGATGTGGCATGTTATGCTCAGAATCACACAAGTAGTTAATGCCCAGTAGACAGAGAGGGAGGAACCTGTATGTCCAGGCACTAAATGTAATTTATGTCACTCAAAACTCACAGCAGCCCTAAAGGAAGCAGAGGTCCAGAGAGGTTTTATAACTTGACCAGGTCATGCCACTGGGGAGTGGCAGAAACCGGGATCTGGACACAGCTCTCACAGGGAAACCCACACCCTGCTCTGGGCTCCCTAGAATCTGAGACTGAGCCCTCAACTGCCCTGGTTGATGCCGCCTGAGCCCCTCCCCGTGAACATTTCCATTCAGTCTGCCTCGGCACGATCACAGAGCAAAGCCAGCACTGGGTTGTAAGTATTCCCGGGTCAGCACCAGCTATTTCCCAGGGTGCTGAGGTTTGGGGACCAGGAGGAAAACTGCCAGTGGCAAGGACAGGATGATCTCTGGGGCTAAGAGGGAACCAGCACTCTCTGTTTGACCCCTCCCTTCCCTCTCCCTTTCTCATTCCTTACTCTTCTCTTTCCTCTTCTATTCCCTTCCCCTCCATCCTATTCCCACCCGACACCCCACTACCCCTGTTGACAAACTTCCTGATCTCTAGAGCCTTCAATAAGTGAGGGGGAAATTTTTAAAAATCAGGCCTCAGAAGAACAAGACAAAGGAGGAAGAAGACAATCACAGTGCCTCCTGCACCAGGAAGTCAGTGGGTCCTGCCTCCCAGTCAGGACTGGCTGGAGAGTACCGTGGGCATGGAGTTCTCTTAGCTTCCTCTCACCTGTAACCAGCCCTCCTCCAAATCAGAGGGGAGAGCAAAGGAAGAAAACAGGAAGAGAGACAGGTGTGGGAGTTAGGTCTGAGATGTGTGAGTAATATCACTTAATTTTAGCTACCCCTAATTTTCCATGTTGTCACTGCATGCAATTTCTTCTTCCTTCCCCTGCCCAATTCCAGATGAACAATGATTTCCAAATTCGTGGCTCATTCCGGCTTTATCATATAATAAGTCTGTGGACAGCATGCTTGTCCCATGGGAGACACCAAATGAGTGCACTGAAATTGGCCTCCTCACCTGGGGGGAAAGGACTGAGTACTCATGGGGGACCCATGAGTAGCCATGTGATCCTCAAATTCCTGCCTTCACCTGCAATGAGTGAGGCTAGACAGCAACTACCTGATAAACAAATGGAGATCAAAGTCACGAATATATGCAATGTCCCTGTGGTGCCTGCTGCTCACTGGCGCTGGGACTCAAAATGAGCACAACCTGGAGAAGCTCTATAAGTCACCTGGAGTCTCAGAGGTGCTGCTCAACCCTGGGAGACTTCACTTAGGGAACACTGGTGCTCACCGGCCATGCCTCTGCTTTGATGGGCTGTGGACCTGAGCACACACTTTTCCTCCTCTTCGCTTTAGAGCTCTCCTGTGCTTCTTCAAGACTCAGCTTCAATGTCCCCTCCTCTGCGAAGCCTTCTGACCTTCCAGACAGTACCATTTTGCTCAGCATTTCTTGTCACGTGTGCAGAAGTTTTACTTGAAGAAACAGAAGAGCTCTCCCCATTCAAGATGTTGCTGGGAACTGCTGAGAAGGTGGTCCATTCTCATTTCAAAGAGGAAACCCCCTGGATGAAAGAGATCATTTGACAGTTCATCAGCCAACAGCCTACCACAGATGGTTTCTGAGGGCTACTGTGAGTCAAAGACCAAGCACTGAGTCTTCTAAGTGTCCATCTATAGATGAAGGACTACGTATGTCAGGGAAGTGTGGGGTTGGGGGTGTAGCTCAGTGGCTGTTATGGCTTAGATCCAAAATGTCCCCCCAAAGTCTCATGTTTAGAGGTAGGCTTTCAGAAGGTGATTGGATCTTATCATTGCTATACTCGTCAATGGATTGATCAACTGATGCACCCATAATTGAACCTGCTGTTAGGAGGAAGGGCCTGGTGAGAAGTGACAGATCAGTAGGGGCATGACCTGGCTCCTTCCCTCCTCTCCCTCTCCCTTGCCTTCTCCCTGTCCTTCCTGGCCAACATGACCTGAGCAGCTCTGCTCTGTCAGACCCTTCTACCATGCCTTTCCTGCCTTGGGGCCAGAGGATTGAGTTCTTAAAAAGCCATAAATTAAAATAAAACTCTTGTCTTAGTCACTTGCTCATTGCTGAGACACAATACCTGACAACCACCCCTTAAAGGAAGAGAGGTTTACTTCAACTCATATTTACAGACCACAGTCTTCCAGTTTCCGGGTAGAAGTGGCGTGGGGGAAGGGTCTGCTGTGGTGGAGGAAAAGCTGCTCAGGTCATCGTGGCCAGGAAGCAGAGAGAGAAGGGAGGGGCTGAAAGGGAAAATACTCCCTTTCATGTCACAACCCCAATGACCCACCTATCCCAATCAGGCCCCACTCCTAACAGCAAGTTGGCTGTAGTGGCCCCCATAGTTCATTCACCTGCCATAAGCCCCACCTTGGAGCACATGGTCTTTTGGAAGTCATTCTTGACCCAAACGATAACATTATGCCCCCAGATCCCAAAGGACCCATGTGTGTCTCTTTATATAAAATCTTTTCAGTCCTTCCTGAAGAGGCACCAGTTTTAACCATTCAAGCACTGCTGAAAAGGTCAAGGCCAAAGTTTCCTCCAAGACTCAAGGAATGCTGTTAACTCTGGACCCCTGGAAAAAAAAAATCAAACAGTACGTTAAACACTGCCAACATACAATGGCACAGGATAACATTCCCATTTCAGAGGGGAGGAACAGAGGGATCAAAGGAATGGGACCAATGAAATACTGAAACCCAGCAGGGCAAACATTAAATCCCATAGTTCTGTGTCTAAAACCTGGGATGGATGATGGCAAGGGTGAACTCCAAAAGGCTTAGGTAGCCCCATCCCTATGCCATTACCAGATGCAGCCTCAAGGCTTCTCTCTTGAGCTGGTTTCATTCACTGAATGCAGCTTTCCTCATCAGACATTCATCTTCCCAGCTTCTCCAACATCTTGGAATCTCCACTGCAATTTTGACTTCATTCTCACAGCTTTAGGCACTGCCTTCTCAGATAGGGGCAACCAAGCTATGTCTGCTCCAACTTTGCAGGTACTTCTTTTCTAAGGAAACTGAAAAACTTAAAATGGACTTTTTGCTCCTGATTTTCAGTATAAATCTCCCTAAAAACAGCCAAAAAGTACCCATGCTACAGCCTGACCATTGAGCTATCTTGAAATTTTTCTGCCAGACCAATTAGTCCATTACCCTTAATCTCAGTCTACTCAAAGTCTCAGAACATGAGCAAAGTGTAGACAAATTTTGTTCCAGAGCAGAACACACATGGTCTCAATTCCAACTGCCAATGGAGTCTTTGTTTCCAATGGAAGCCTCCTGAGCCTTGTCTTCATTGTTTATATTTTTATGAGCATTCTTATCTCCTGATCTCCAACCAGAATCTTCCATCAGTCATGGCTTACAGTATTCTACGGATCCTCTAGCCAGCATATCCAAGCCTTTCCAAACTCCTTCCACAAACCAATTCCCAAGGCTTCCAAACCACATGGTCAATTATAGCTCTGGTGATAACTTCTCTGGTACCAAAATCTGTCTTAGTCACTTTCTTCATTACTGGGATATAATAACTGACACCCACAGCTTAAAGGAGGAGAGATACTTTAGCTCACAGTTACAGTCCATGGCCAGGCAGCCATGAGGCAGAAATGGCAGGGAGGAAGGGTCTGGCGGAGGAAAGCTGCTCACAGCATGATGACCAGGAAGCTGAGAGAAAGGAGGGAAGAGTCAAGGAGGGAGGTATACCCTTCCAGGTCACGCCACCAGAGATCCACCTCTTCAGACCAAATGCTACCTCTTAGTTAACAGCAAGTTAGCTATGGTGCCCCATAATCCACTCACCTTCCAAAAGCCTGGCTTTTGAACACATGAGCCTCCTGGGGACATCTAGATGTAAACTGCAATAACTCTTTAAATTGTGGGTGTCACATATTTTGTCCCAGCAATAAGAAAGTGATTAAGACAGTGGTAGAGCATTTGCCTAGCATGCACAGGACCCTAATTCAATCTCCAGCACCAGAGGAAATAAAAAGTCTGTACCACAACACTCTGGACCTCAAAAATGTTTGAACAGGACTCCCATAACCTTACCACCTAGAGTCTTTGTTCTCAGCCCAACTTTTAACACACAGAGAAAGAAAGTATAGAAATTCAACAAAGCTAAGACAGATTAAGGCCAGATGTAATAAAGGGGATTAAAAACCAGCATTCATGGAGCACCCACTGGTTTCTGGAGCTTCACATTCCTTATTTCATTTCACCCCTGTAAGGCAAGGACTGCTACCTGGACTACAGATAAGAAAGTTTAAGCTAGGGCTGGGGATTTAGCTCAGTGGTCTCGCCACTTGCTTCGCAAGTGCAAGGTCCATAGTTCAATCCCCAGTACCTAAAAACAAAAGCTGGTGTTTCAAGAGGTAAATGACTCCCAAACTTACAGTAAAAAGAGGCAGGTCAGAAACTGCACCCAGTTCTCCCTCACTGGAAAACGTGCCTGTCCTGCTGTCTGAAGTTACCCCCAAACTAGGCAGAAGCACCTCCTCAGTTTCATTCATGACCTGATCTTATTTATGAGCTCACCATTAATCAGAATTTGGTCAACCACAATCTTATGACTTAGTAACAACCACAAGAAGGAGAAAAGGGAGAGGCCACCAATATATCCAAAGCTCTGTGTCAGCGAGGTCACCTCTAAAATACAGGTGTTTTAGCAAATTACCAGTGACAGGCTGGTCAAGGCCTGAGTCAGACACTGTAGAGGACTCATGTAAACAAGAGAGATCAAACTGCTGCACGTGATGACGGCCGCGTAACCCAGCGCAGCCATGAGGTTGACAAGATATAATGGAAGATGGATGCTAAATTTCAATGCTGCAAAATTCAGGCTAAAAAGGTGACATAAATATTTCAGCCTTTTATCTCAGGCTCTGCCATTCAAGGAGCACCACCTCCTTTGGTCTCTTTCCATTTTTAGAGATCAGAGCCAACCTGGAAAACCTCCCTCTATAACATCCACACCAGCTCAAATCTCCAAGGCCCTCCTCGGTGTTCTAAAAATAACAGCATGAAAAGCCACCTCTGCCCTGGGTGGTGCCTCTTCCCCACCATCGGCTGAGATGGGAGGACATTCAGCAGCTGCAAAGGTGGGCCCTGAAGATGGCAGCGCAGGTAGAATCCATTAGCATCTGAACATCTTTCAGTTGGAGACCGCCTGCTCTGAGGGGCAGCAGGCCCGAGCAGGGACCGTGGAACTGTGTGAGCCAGCGCCTGCCTTTTCTTCTGTTATTTACACAGAGCAAAGGCGCAGCGTACTTGGCCCTGCACACACACGCTGCCCTGCAGGGAGAAGCACATGAGCCGTGCTGCTGGCTTCTCTGCCGAGCCAGCTGGAGGGGAAGGCCGTCCCCAGGACAGGGACGAGGTGGCCAGGAGGCTCCAGCCTCTTCGATCCATCCCCAGAGGAGCTCGTGACTTCTGTTCAGTGGCATTCAGAGCTTGCCAGCTGCCTTTACCAGCACTGCCAGCCAGGAGGCCACTTTTGGGTTCTCCGCCCCTGCAGCTGCTGCCCAAACCCTTGGGCCCTGACCCAGATCAAAGGAGAGACCTGGAACAACTAAGTCTCTCAGCCCTGCTGGTTAATGGCTGTGTGGCTGGGAAGAGGGGACTCACCCTTTTTGCAGGTCAGCTTCTTTAAAGGTAAAGTGGTGATATGTCCCTGTAATGCCAGCACTCAGGAGGCGGAGGCAGGAAGATCACTGAAAGTTCAAGGCCAGCCTGAGCTACATACAGTAGTGAATTCAAGGCCAGCTTGAGTGACATAGTGAGATCCTGTTTTTTTAAAAAAATGAAAGTGGCTCCCACATTTCTCCGGTTCTCATCAGTGGACTTCTGCAGAGCGCCCATTCCAATCTCGTTAGGCACCCAGGACTGTTTGCAGGAGGCCTCAGCTGAAAGAGTTCAGGGTCCCTTCTGAGCAGTGCCTTTTCTCCCCTGAAGACAGATGATGGAAGCCGGCTCCTCCCCTCCTGAACACCCAGTCCCAGGGCAGGCTTTGTGCCCCTTCCTTCAATTCAACTCTTTCCTCCCCCACCCCATATGAGGGATTGAACTCAGGACCTTGAACTTGCAAGGCAGGAGCAGTGATTTCAACTCTTAAGATCAGTGTCCTGAGGCCCATTTTTCTCGCTGGTCTTTCTCCCAGAAGGCCAGTGCACCTCATGCAAACTAGAATCCTGGGGGCCATCCAGACCCCAACAGCAGTGCTCACCACAGCTGCCACCCACTCTGAGCATGCTTTACATCCTATGTATCTCATTTAATCCTCACCGTGATCCTGTGATTGATGAGGCCCCTGAGGCACAGAGGAAGGCATAGCAACTCTGCCAGGGGGAATCAAGAGAGACATCCCTGAGGGCGTGGCTTAGGCACTCCGGTTTGCTGGATGGAGAGAGGGGTGTACTTTCCCGAAAAGAGGACAGGATTTCCAACCTGACCCCCGCTGCCTTTGTAGTCTGGTGGCTAAAGTTGCAAAGGCTGTTTGTAAAGTTCAGATCCCAGGCTGTTCAGACCCCAGCCAGGCCCTGGCAGAGCCAAGGGTTCTTATCTCTGTGCCCATCTGCTTGGCGAGCTAGCAGGAGATGGGACATAATCCTTCACTCTGCAGTTCAGTCACAAATTACAAAAAGTTGCCGTTGGCAAGGAACATCCTTGCGGAAGGGCTCACTGGGAGCAGCACTGCGGGGTGGAGGAGGCTGGGCAGGCTGTCCCAACAGAGAAGGGGAAGAGTGGCACGGGGCTGGGCCTGACCCCGCGGTCAGAACGGCAAAACACAGACACCAGGCCCCAGCCAGGTTTCCACACTGCTTGCAGGTGAGGCAGGGTTGTCTGCTGTGGACCCAGCCCCACCTCTCCTCACCTGCTAACCAGCGTTTGGCTCCTCTGAAAGGAGCAGGCAGGCTGTGGGAGCAGTGGATGCTCATGGACGACACAGGTAGCTGGTAGGCCCCATCAAGAAGGGATCCCACCCGCCTCCCCAAGAGCCCAAGACTCTGGGACCTCTCACTCCACCAGCTCCCAAGGAGCACCTGTGTGTGGGCAGGGCTTGCCAGGTGCCAAATCAAACAAGCCCTGAAGTTGCAACAGCTCAACACGTGGAAGGTTATGCCTCACTCTCGCTCCTGACCGGACAACCTTCCCCACGCTCCTTGGAGACCCCGGCTTCTTCCACATGGGGGCTTTCACCCCCGACAGCTCCTCAGTCCTCTCACCAGCTGGGGATGAGAAAGAGAGAGGGAAACAGACAGACAGACAGACAGACAGACCAGAGATGAGACAGAGACAGAGAGACAGACAGAGACACTCAAAGAGAGACAGAGAAACACAGAGAGATAGACAGGAACAGTCAAAGAGACAGACGGACACTCCATGGGGACTTCAGGGCCAGTGGCCTCCACACTCCTGTCACTTCACCATTGGGTGAGGAGGGACACGGGTGTGATAAACAACAGGCCAGGGTTTGTCACTTCTGGTCACCTCACAGCACTTAGAACCCCAGGATCACAGAGCCATAGGAGGTAAGGACGATGACTTATGACTTTGGGGAATGTTCTAAGGCTGAAGTTCTAGAACTTCGAGGTCCAGTAAGCATAGACTCCCATATGATGCCATCCTAGACTGTGAAGAGTGGTGGCAGATGGTTAACGAGAGGCCTGTGTCTCTTGGTCCCCTCCACACCCAAGTCCCAGCTGAAGAGAAAAGGGTGTGACACCATCACGTGCCAGCACGCCCCTAATGCACTTACCCCTCGCAACAGCCCTGTGCAGTAGGACTGTTGTTATCTCAGTTAACAAGATGAGAAACTGAAAGTTTCAAGAACTAACACGGGGTCAGACAGCTGGTAGCATTCCACAAGTATTTATCAAATACATAAAT